TCCTGTTCCAGGCGAACATCCCGGCGCCGCCGGACATGCGCGCCGGGCCAACGGGGTGGAGACTCAGCGCCGGGGGAGTGCCCATTCCCCCGTTGCCCGACACCGTGGCGAAGCCGAAGTACTTCGCCGAGGAGGTCGAGATCGTGTGCGCGTCCCTCACCGACGCCCAACTCTCCCTCCCCCATTACGCCGCCGACAACCACGCGGCCTGGGCGGCGTATTTCGAGCGCCGCCAGCAGGAGCGATTGGCGTCCACCAACGGAGCGCCGGTGGTCGGCGGCCGTCAGAACAGCGAGGGGCGCCACCTCTGGTGCGGTGTCCCCGACCGCACTCTCGAGGGCGTGCTCACGTACCTCGAGGGCGGCAACGACCCACCGTTGGCGTACCCCCCGACGCAGCACCGACGCGTCGGGCCATGGGCACCAAGGAGGTTCGGGTCCTCCTCCTCCTCTTCCTCCTCCCGATCCTCATCGCACTCCTCCGGCACTCCGGCCCTGCTTGGCGTCAAGGCCGAGCCCGCGGTGGAGTCGCCGCTCGGCCGGCGCACTCGCAGCGCCGACATCGTCATCAACGAGGGCGGCCGGCGCGCCTCCTCCTCGTCGGCTCCTCCGCGCTTCATCAAGCCAAAGACGGAGCCGGGGCTGGCGCCGGTGAAGACGGAGCCGGGGCTGGCGCCGGTGAAGGCGGAGTTCGACGACGACGACGCGGCCCTAGAATGGGCGCGCTAGGACTCCATTGCGATAGAGAAGGCACGCCGGGAGAAGGTGAAGGAGCGCCAGCGTGCCGCCCTGCGCCGCTTCGAGGAGCACCGACGCGGCCGCGATGAAGACGGGGTCGTCGTCCTATGCGACAGCGACGACGACGCACCGCCGCCAGTCCGCCATGGCGACGCCGGGTCCAGCAGGGGCGCCCGCGTCAAGGAGGAGAAGGCCGACGACGACGATGGCGGCGACGACTTCAGCCCCTTTCTTTTTTAGATTAGGTTAATGTAATGAAAATGCGCGAATTTCGCTGAAATTTGCCATGTTTAGCCGAAATTTAACTACTTTTTATCATAACTTCGCCAAACGGCCCTTTTTTTTAATACGCGCCTGGGGGCCGACGGCTGGTGACCAACTCGCCCCCAGGGCCAATTTTTTGCGCCGGCTCACCCCCAAGCGGCGCTTTTAGACGCCCCCTGAGGGGCCAACGGCTGAAAATGCCCTCAAGAAGCTCTATTGGATCCACATAAAGATGTTGCCGCCGAAGGATCACAAAATAAGAATAGGGGATCAGCTAAGTGCGGTTAACTCCTCAAAACCATTTTTTTTGAGACCTTAGTTGTTTTAATGGATCGTTTAGAGTCCTACATCCTGACCTGGGCACGTGGCTGTCAACCTTTTTGTCTGATTTTATTTCTCATGCTCTTGTAAATGACTTTGCGGTTATTTGAGAAATAAAGTCTTGATGTTATAAAGAAACATTCGCACGTTTTTTTTTCATGGTAAACCATTCGCACGTTTGCCATTGCTTGTGTTTCCTACTTTTTTTTTCAGAAAAAAGTATATAAAATTGCTTGTGTTTCCAAACGTATACGTGCCGACTGTTTTTTCTGAAAACCCCGCCGAGCGTATTTAGGTCTGCGGCTGCACCGTGCAAGTATGCAGCGCGACACAGGCTGAGGTGAGCGCGGCGGCCGAATGCCAGGCACAAATGCACGACCACCTGGCCGCCCTCCTCCGCGGCGGCCGTCACCCGCGCGCAGTCCACGGCGCCGCCGCGAAGCTCGGCTGCCTCGCCTCCATCTACCTCTGCAACAACCTTCTCCTCTCCTACATCGGCGGCAGCCTCCACGCGGAAGCGCGCCGCCTGTTCGACGAAATGCCCCAGCGCAACGTCGTCTCCTGGTCAGTCCTCGTCTCCGGCGCCTCTCGCCTCGGCGACCTCCGGGAGGCTTTTTTTCTCTTCTCCGACATGCTTCGTAGTGGGGAGCGCGGAAGCTGCGACCGCCCCAACTCGTTCGTGCTCGGCGCTCTGGTCGCCGGGTGCACCCGTGCCAAAGACACTGCCGCGGGCTCGCAAGCGCATGCTTCCGCTCTCAAGTTTGGTGTGGCCGAGGACGAGAGTGTTGCGGGGGCACTGGTGGATATGTACTCCAAGTGCGGGCGCGTGGACTTGTCGTGGCGGGCGTTTGCGCTCTCGCCGCAGAGGTGCGTCGCCAGCTGGACGAGCATAATCAGCTGCCTTGTCAACCAGGGATGTTCAGAGCACCGTGATGCAGCAATTGCCTTGCTAAAGAAGATGCTGCTCTTGAAGGTTTGGCCAACAAATGCAACGTTTTCCTGCATCCTGAAGGTATTTGATGCACCTGAGTTGCTTCCTGGTGGGAAGCAAATCCATGGCTGCTTATTGAAGATGGGGACTGAGGTTGATCCTGCTTTAGGAACCGCCCTTATAGCGATGTATGGTAGATGCGGGGGAGTGAATGAGATGGCTAGGTTGTCTTGCCGGATAAGGCATGATGCCTTCTCCATGACTTCACTTCTTGTAGCTTTTGCGCGGAATGGATGCAACATGGAGGCAGTTTGGAACTTTCGTGAGATGGTCATGGAAAATATGGCAATTGATCAGTCAGCTGTAACTAGCCTACTGCAGGTTTGTTCATCATTAGGACGGCTGAGACTGGCCAAGGAGGTCCACTGCTATGCTCTGAAGACTTTCTTTAAGCTGGATACATTACTGCTCAATGCAACTATCACTGTTTATGGCAGATGCGGGGATGTCACAGGTGCAGAGATTATATTTAATCGCCTGGAAAACAAAGACATTATATCATGGACGGCATTATTAACTTGCTATGCTCAAAATGATCTTGCTCTGGAGACACTCTTGCTCTTCAGGGAAATGCTTCGGAAAGGCTTAGGATCTCCCGTCTTTTGCATCACCAGTGTGCTAAGGGCCTGTTCTAGCACCACAAATTATGCTGTTGGGTGGCAAATTCATTCGAGGGTGGTGAAGTTAGGAATTGATGATGCCAATTCAGTTGAGAATGCCCTTTTGACTATGTACGCCAAGTGCGGAAGTGTTCGTATTGCACTGAAGATTTTCAATTCAATGAGGAGTAGAGGCATTATCTCGTGGAATGCACTAATAACAAGTTTTTCACAGCATGGAAATGAGGTGGCAGCCATTCAGCTATTTGACCTGATGCAAGAAGAAGCAGTTTGTCCAGATGATTACACTTTTGTCGGGTTGTTATCATCTTGCAGCCGAATGGGCCTAGTTGCTGAGGGTTGTGAGTATTTCAAACTGATGAACACCAAGTACAATGTGAAGCCTAAGATGGAGCACTACACATGCATGGTTGATCTTTTTGCCCGCGCTGGAAGATTTTCTGATGCACTCGAGTTTATTGATGCTATGCCTTGTTATCCGGACAAACTCGTGTGGGAAGCTTTGCTAGCTTCATGTAGGACTCATGGTAATGTGGAGTTGGGAAGGCTGGCAGCAAAGAAGATTCTTGAAATAAGACCTGATGATCCTTCACCATACATTACATTATCCAGCATTCATGCTTCAATTGACATGTGGGAAGAGAAGGCTTGGAATCGTACTGTGTTTGACGTCCAGCGAGTAAGAAAAGATGTGGGAAGTAGTTGGGTTGCTGGAGAAGAATTTTCAGATAATACATGTGATGTATTGCAAGATGGAATAACGTAAGATTGGTGATGCGTTGATGTATCGTTTTCTACACATCAGGTGGAGTTACAGTTGATAGTTGTATTGAGGCATAATGGACTCAACCGTGTGAGATTGACTGACTGCTCGCCGCGGTTGTCATGTCTGGGAATTGAGCCCAATGTCATATCTCCACTCGAAAGATGACTTGGTACGAAGGACAAGATTATTATCCTTTATATGCCATACGACTTGCTTGCGATATGTTTCTTATCTTAAGGTGAGATGCTCTGTTACTAAACTGTTGTAAACTGCAAACAGAGTTCTTACCACTGTGTACAATTCTTATATATTGTCAGGTGAGTTTTGATGTTATTGGAAATTTAGAGGTGTAAACCCTTTATTGGAAGCAAATGCAATGCCAGGCATCAATACCCTTTTTGCATTCAACCTGCAATGGAAGGTCAGTATGAGCATTGCCCAGCTCTTCTTACATATGCTCTCTGATTTGTAAACTAAGTTGTAATATGCTATTTTTGAACACATATGCAGCAAAGAAGACACAATGCTAATGTCAGGTTAACTGCAACATCAACAATCTGTATACCAGGATCTCGTATGTGCTTACTATTCAGTATTCACAATTCAAAACACTGGAGCTTCACTACTGAATATATGTCAGTATGTGATGATGCGTGCGATTTTGTTGAACTTAGGGATGCAAAGTGGCGTCCCACGTCAGCCCACTTCCTTCAGTTGATAAAAAAACAACAAGAAGTCTGGCCCCTATTTGCTGTAATCAGTGCATTTTATACTGGTAGCTTAGTTTAGTGGGCCTGAGCAGGATGCCACTTTGCATCCCTAGTTGAGCTTGTAATGTAAGTAACTTATTAGTTAACTGCAAATTCTGCTAGTCATATTGATCGTTGATTGATCTCTTTTGAGGTAATTTATCCATGACTGGGCTACCATTAACTAGATATAATCATATTTCCCAGATAGCCAAATTACAAGATGGTGGAACAGTCAACAGAAGAAATGTAGAGCAACTATTTTTCGAGTACTTGGATCTCATGAAGTGATCTGACTTCAGTTTACATTATACCAGTACCAATTCTTACATGGAAAACCAGTTGGAACTTATGTGCTCTATGTATATAGTGTTATTATTTGCATATCACTTCTCTCCAAACGGTACATTTGAATGCGCTTTATTTGTCACACCAAAAAATGAATTGAATTATAGTAGTGTAGTGCATGCTTTCTAACATTAGTTGGTGTTACATCTGAACTGTTTGGGAGTTCTGCAATCCTAGAGCGTGCTGCAATGACGCCTCATGCTGTTAGTCCTCTTCGACTTCATGAAAAGGAAGTGGAACAACCTTCACAGCTCTGAACTTCCCTGCATTGTTTAGGTGTTCGTTCTCCAGCCTGACAGAGAAGTTTTTGGTAATGTTCTTTTAGTGTAAATTCAGGCTTGTATATCCATCACAATGAAAAATTCAAGACTTAGGATTCACTGGCAAAAACTTTACCTGTAGAAGTTCCAAAGGCCCCGTCGAATCACCTCAAGAGCTGCCAAAAAGAACAGAGTAACTCTAGAATCCAGGCTTCCAATGTTAGGGTGGATGACAGTTTGAAGCCAAGCAAGCCTCAAAAGAAGGTTCAAACCCTGTAAAATGTCAGGCTCTCTGTAAGTACATGCAATTTATCTTCGCTCGCAATTTTTCGATGCAAACCTTAATTATTTTAGAGAACATACCATGGATATGAAATAAATGTATTTTTGTTTAAGTATCAGATCGTTACGAAGCCAAGGGTTCTTGGAGTTGAACTGTAGAAGACCCCAGTCCTTGACAAAGTCCCAGTACAGTTGGTAGATAGTGGCGACACTTGACACGATGACGACAAGTGATAGCCATCCAGCACTGTTATCATTCTCATATGCCACTTTTGTTCCTGCAGCAAGCATTGCTGACACGTACTTCCCAAGGTTGACAATGTGGTTTATGTCCCCTTCGTCAAACCACCTCCTTGCACACTGTCAGGACAACCGTAATAATAAGAAAGAGCATTAGTACCTATAAGAAGTCTGAAGAATAGACATTGTGATGTGGCAAGTCATGTTCAATCTTGTATACCTGCATGGCTCTCCAGTAGTAGGGCAGGAAGGATACTGCATAAGCCAAATCTCTAAAATGTTTCACTCTTGTGCAGTATCCATAGTCTTGTGTCTTATAGCTGCTGGTTATGTAATAACATGCCAGGTATTCCAGGGTTCTAAGCAGCGGTACCTATTTTCCAGCAAATCATTACTTTATTAGTCATTCGAAATTAAACACCATCATTGCTTCTCTACACGCTACACTGTAGTAGTATGTACTCCCTCTGTTCACTATTATAAGATGCTCTAACTTTCTTCTGAATTGGATGTATATAGACGCATTTTAGTGTGTTTGTTCACTCATTTCAGTCCGTATGTAGTCCATATTGAAATATCCAAAACATCTTATAATAGTGAACGGAGAGAGTAGTAAATAGTAACTAAAACAAACATCCATGTTGGCAAAAGCAATTATTGATGCTGATCAGTTCATGTTGTAAATGGACCCTACTGAGCATTTTGGTTTAAGCTAGCACAGCTGAACTTGACAAACATTTAGCTTCTATTATTTGATTACCTGGCTACAAAGCTGATCAGCCATGAAGAAATCAACCATGACAACCTGCATATAAACATGAATTTAGCTTCTTTTTTTGTATGGAGTTTGATAGGACTCCGTCCACTCATTTAAAAAAAAATGCTCTTCAGCTATAGCAAAGTACCTTGTAAAAGGGTGTTAGAATGATGTTTCTGATCGCTATTAGGAAATGATAACGACTTGATCGGTAAATGATTTTGAAAGGGCAGACCAATACTAATAAGAACACCTGAATAAACAGAAGCATCAGCCTCATATGGGTATAGCAACATTGACAATAAACATTACATATGTAACGTTGAATATAGCATACCAGAAGAAGGCACCCTGGGACTGCTTGGACTGTACTTGAAGAATACCCTTTGAAAATGAGTGTCAGGTGTGCAAACATGACACCAACAACAATCGTCATGGAGGTAGTGCATATCAAGAACACATCACGATACTTGAGCTCTTTCGTAGGTGCAAATTCGAATATGAATGCGTAGTTTATGCGTGTCTTTCTCCACATGAAGATGTTGCATCCATAGAGGAAGAGATGCAGGAAGAAGAGGCTGAACATGCTGCAGATTGGGATCGTTTAATGTCAGTACTCGATCATTGAGTTTTAACACCTTTTGTTTCTTATAAGAGTATAGTAGCAATTGAACTGACATGTTGGGTGCTTACCTAAGGACAGGGTAGGATGTTGACATGTAGACCTTGTTTGACTGATGAGTGTACATCCCAGCTATGTGCGCCATGATACAGTAACCGATAAATAGTGCTACAAAGCCACCAGTGAATAGTCCTGAAAATTTGACAGTAGTGCATAAGGATTCCGAAATTATCTTTATCATAGAATTGGAAGGAATGCAAAGCTTATAAACAACTATTACCTATGAAAAATGTGGTAGCATGTGATTCTTCTTTCTGATTTGGCTTCAGGTACTTCATTGCTTTCCTTTTGTCACCGCTTGCGAAATGTCTCACAAACAGCTCCTCGACATCGTCCGTTAGCCTGATTGCCTATTAAGAGGAAGTTTTCAGTCAGAACTCGGAACCTTTGGAGTTTTGGTAGACTGAAATGCTTCAGATCTTCTCAAGTGTGCTGTATGATTGGAAAATACCTTGTCGGAGCTATTAAAGTAGGAGCTCTCCACTACTTTCAGGTAAATTGTCTGCACTTCCTTTGCTGTAACCTGCAAAGCGAAAAAATATTTGGTTTGTTCAGCATTGCTTATATGTGATAATTTTCAGGCAATGGGATAAGGAAAGAGGCATTGGCAGGAACCTTGTCAAATTTCTTCAAAATCTTAACAAAAGCCAGCATGTTCAAGCTCCTGCAACAAGAGTGCTTTCCCTGTCAGTACCCACTCGGCACACAAAGCAGGACAACATACCATGCCATCAGCTATACCTACCGATACGTCTTGAGGTACCCCAAGCCCTTGTACAGCTCAACCAGGGCTCCTCTGATCATCTTCTCTGCCTGGTGCACCTTTTTCTTGTTGATGCTCAACTTCTCACCACCATCGCCACCATTTCCCCCAGTCTTCCTTGACTGGCTTAGCATGTCATCGAACAAAAGTTCACGGATGGCGAACACGGTCCTTGATGGTGTGGTGACCGGAATGTTGATCCTCACGCTCCTGCCCTGGCAAGTGACCGCCCTCCCTGAGAATGTCCTCAGCTTGTTGGCAGCTTCTTCTCTCGGCTTCTCAATCCTTCCCGAGTCACCCAGACCTTCGGAGATGGGAAGATGGTCCTCCCCTTCATCAGTGTTCTTTGCCGTAGCATCGTCGGCGAGCTTTTCTTGACTTTCGTGTTCTTGCTCTGTAATGCCCCTGAGGGATTGATCTCCTGCAATTTTGGTGGCAAGCCACAAATCAATTTCTATGCGACTTCGAAGCTCGAAGAACTCACTCATGGGGTGTATATGTGATGGGGAATGGGTGTTATCCACTCATCCTTTTGTGGAATGAGTTGGTATGACACCATTCAATTCCTTGTATGCTCATAGAAGACTAACAATGAATAACTAGCTCATGGCTTGAAGAAGGATCTCACCTATACTAAGGGTATCTCACCGATGAACCTAAATATGCCTTTCAATTGCACGCCAAGCTCAACAACTACTGGACTAATCTGGATACGCCAACCAGGATTGCCTCTTCTATTTTTCCCTTCCCAGCCAGTCTTATTTATGCATAGTTCAAGACCAGCTAGACAGCAGCAGCTGGCCTAGCTAATCAGCTTTTACCCTCAACTGGCTTAATTAACAAGCATATCTAGCACATATAGTGGCATGCATTTATGTATGTATGTACACTCACCATGCAGGATAGAGCAAGACACGGACGGGTCCTCCGGGTCGGCGCTCCCCGCCGCCGACGAGCCCCCGCGACGCCGTGCCTCGGTGACGGCGGCCTTGAGCTCGACCAGGATCTGCTGCTGCCGCCTGAGGCACTCGCCACGCTCCAGGAACTCCCCTTCCTTCCTCTCGTAGAACCGGTTCACCTTGTTCAGCTGCTCGTCCAGCCTCTGGAAGAAGGCCCTCGCCTCCTCCGCCTCCGCCCCGGCGAACCCTGCCGTGTCCAGAACCTCCGTCTCGTACACCTCTCCGGCCACCGCGCCGTGGTTGCCGCCGCTCGCCAGCTTTCTGTGCACCTGCATTGCGCGCGTACCAACGGAACATACGAACCTCATCTCAGTCGACCATCTCACTTGGAAAATAGTTTGCACGAGGCTGTACATGTGCGCTGCATACCTGTATGGCGCCGTGCTCCTTGTGGTGGCCATGGGGGTTGAGGAACGGGAGCCTCATCACCCAGTGACTGGCAGCCACGGGCGCCTGGAACTGTGACTGCAGTGGCGCCGCCTCGGCGCCGGCAGCGGCCTGCAGCTTCTTGATGTCCTTCTTGAGCAGCCAGTAGTCGACGAAGGCCTCCTTCCACTCCGGCACGAGCTGGCCCTCGAACTGCTTGGAGAACTTCACCATTGGCGGCCTCAGGGCGCAGCAGTGCAGCTCGCCGCAGCTGTGGTGGTGGCACCGGTGTGCGGGTGTCTCAAAGGAAGCCATGGGGTATGGCGTACTTATACGAGCTGCATGCGAGTGTGCGCCGGTAGCGTCCATTGGAGGAGAATTTGGAACTAGAATCTATGAGAGGGAGGGCTGAAGGAGACTGGGGAATTAGCTGTTGCTCATGTGGGGGTTTATGCTAGCTAGCTCCTGTCAATTGGTGATCACCAGTTGGGCGTAGTGTGTGTTGGTGCCTTGGGTTGGGTTGGTTGGATGGATTCTCCGTCTCTGTTAGCTCCCCAGTTGAGAGAGGGGAGGGATGGTGGGAGGGACGTGTTTTATAGGACGGATGGATTGGTGGATCACTCACTCCATTGGACCAGCCACGACGATGGTGGAGGCTGTTAGTGTCGTGCATGGCTCTAGTGCAAAAGAAATGTGTCCCGCAGAGGATGAAGAAACGGGCCCACGGGAAAAGGAGCTGGGCACATGCCACTCGGTTCACTGGCCATTTCAGTGCCTCTTTTGATTCACGGAATTCTGAAAACGTAGGAATATGGATTTTATAGGATTGCAGTGTCGTGCTCATTTTTGAATCCTAATACATTATTTTGGTTTGTTTGATTGCATCACAGGAAAAAAAAATCATTCCTTTCTCGAAAAAAGTGTTCTTTTCAAGAGATTTGAGTGGATGCTATTTTTTTTTATGGAATGTGGTATAGTATAAAGGAATGCTTCTGCAAAATTCCTATATGATTCAATCCTATGAATCAAACAACCATTGTAGGAAAATTTTCTAAGGATTATAACCATCCAAAATTTCTACAAATATCCATTGAATCAAATTGCATGTGGTTGCGAAAATAACCACCGACAAATAAGAGATCGCTATGCTACTACTAAGCCGAAAATTGTACCGTCTCATGTGATTCATGCATGTACTTTAGTGGCGATTAGGACTGTATTTTATGCTTAGACTGTTCAATCTGTTTAGTTTAAAAGCTACTCCCTCCATCTCATAATGTAAGACGTTTTTGCAAGCTAAAATAGGAGTAGTTGTAAATATGAGCTACGTAATTTTTTTTCTAGATTCGAAGGATTTTTACAGGAAATAGTTCAACTACAGTGCACAAATTTCTTACCTTCAAACGTGCAGGGGTCCCTTATTTTCAGCTCATGGGATGACTTACGGACCCAGAATGCCATAAGCTGAAAAGAGGCATAGCTTATGCACAACTGCGGAATTAAGCCCCTCTATTGACTTTGCCGTCAATGTTGGTAAAAATTTACCCACTAGCTGTCATCTCCCATATCCTGAGAACCAAGGCCCTTGCACAAATCTGTTGCCTCTTCTACTTTTAGGCCGTCGAGGTAGACCTTATAGGTTGGCTATTATTCACTGCATAGTAATTCCAGCTAGTGACAACCGGGACTATTACAAAATTGCTATTGTACTCAGGACTCTTCTACTTTTACCATGACTCATTAGATATTCTTGTATGTTCCTGGACTCTTGCTGGAAGCTGGATCCTACCCTTCTTAATTACTCCTATAGCCGAATTTGCATGGACTCCATCGCGTTGGAATCTCTGCAGAATATGGATCATCAAAATCGTTGTGGAGGCTATCGCTAAAAATTATGTAAGCTCTCCATAGCTCATGCTCAAACTCAGAATCGCTATAAAAAGTGTCACCATCTTTTCCTACGTTTGGGACCCGTTTGTGTTAGCAGCGTAGGCCCAGCTCCGAGTCCATCGGCATATGTTTGGACGTTTCCGGTGCGCATCGGACACTCCACTACAAGCGGAGAGCCCACTACATCCCAAAAGACCGGCCTGAAGGGAGTGTGCCATTCTCCCTTATAAGGAGCTCCTAGCCTCCTCCCATATCCGTGGTGGGACTAAAGTCACTAGCACTGTCCAAGGTCAGGTTCCTGGCACCCCACCCCCCTAGGGAAGCCCCCCTTAGGGTGGTGTGGGGCCCAGCTCTGATACCACTTGTTAGCAGCCTAGGCCCAGCTCCCGGTCCATCGGCATATGTTCGGACGTTTCCGGTGCGCATCGGACACCTGGGACGGAGCTTGCATGTAGGCATTGGGGTCAATTGACCCCAATGAAATTACTAAATCCTTCATTTACTTAGTATTAATCATTTTTGATTTATAGAAGATGACCCCATTGCCATGGATATGACCCCATCAAGCTTTTTTTCTAGCTTCGTCCCTGTCGGACACTCCACTACAAGCGGAGAGCCCACAACATCTCAAAAGACCGGCTTGAAGGGAGTGTGGCACTCTCCCTTATAAGGAGCTCCTAGCCTCCTCCCATATCCGTGGTGGGACTAAAGTCACTAGCACTGCCCAAGGTCAGGTTCCTGACGGTTTGTCATTGGATAACTCTTTCATTGCAGTAGCTTCTATGTAGTACATTCGAACTTGTTTTCAAGAAGTTAAACTGACCGAGATACATGATTGGGAAAGCAGTAAGTTTGCAGTTGAGAAGGTTGGTGATTGCAGCCCTTCGTCGCCGTCTAAGCCCATAGCCACCACCCTGCTTTTGGCAAAGTTGATTTTAAAACTTGGCATGACTTTGAAACAGAAGAGGATAATCTTGATTGTGGTGATGCTCTGTTTGTCTGGCTCAAACAGAAGCAAATTGTGGTCGGTGCATTGAAGGTGAGAAATCCCCCCGGTATTAAGGTACTATATTTGTTGTAAACAGTAATAGATTTCGGAGTACTACATATATAACATAAATTTTCTTTCCTTCGTTGTTATTCTGCGTGTGCAGCAAATTTAGGTGTCAAATTTATGCCACGTTTTATACATGTCGTGCCAATCTTATCTGTATTTGTTGAACATTTATAACTATTAGAAGTGCTATTATGATTTTAATGGACTAGTACACACCTCATGTGACTATTGCTTATAACATGCCATATTACAATTAGGTATCTGGCTTCTACATTTCCTGATAAGTTAGAACTTCATCAAACACCCTACAGTGCCCTGTTTGGAAAGAAGTTAGAAGACGCCTATTTCAATATAATAATTTGGAACATTGTTCAAGTCCGCACCAAATTATTTGATAAATGATTTTTTTTCCACATCATATGTGAGCACAAAATGTTTGTAAAGTGACATTCATTGCAAAGTTTATCGAAAATAAAATCCAATTAATCAGTAACCCAGCTAAACAATTGATACTTAATATCCTTAATTTAATCTGTGATATTCTTCCGTATTTGTCGACTGTTAAGTCTGCCATTTTTTCTCCATAATGGAAGATTCTACGAATCTTATCACATCAGTCAAATGCATACTTTTTTTCTTGATATGTGCAGGTTATTCCTGGGCATGGGCCATGCTAATCTTGTTTGTCTCATTCCAGTTTTATCAGATTTCCGAGAAGGGACTCAAATGCACAGCTCAGCTGCCAGGATGTCCTCTCCTAAGATGCACCCTAAGCGGATTATAAAATTAAACACACACAGCTTTGCTTTTAGTTGAAAATGAAGGGTCGGAATCCTTTTAAACAAATTATTGACAATGGAATTTTAAAGTGTATTCCAGAAAGAAGATGATAACTCTGCTTTGCAACTTTAAAATGATATCCTGCTATTTCGACAAAGCCGTTTAGTAGGGTGGTCGTCAGAGGGTGGACAGCAAAAGCTAAATCCTTGGTGTTAATTAAGCAACAACTGCTTCTAATTTCCCCAACAGAAGATTGTGTCTATCTCTCCTAGAATTTCTCTGATATACCTTTAATATCTTTATATATCTTGTCCATGATCAGCTGCCTTTTCTTACCTAGATTCTGGAGCAAATGACAAATTTGGTAAACAGCCAAATATTAGGCAGACCATAATTTTTTCCGATCAGGATATATTTCACCGCAAATGAACATGTGAAGAACAAATGAGTATATAAGATCCGCGTGGTTCATGTTTTACAGATTCAGCTTGTTTACTTGGATTGCAGTTAGGAGCAATAATGCTAAGAGTAACTGGTTGGCAATGTAACTTTTGGTAGGTAAAAGGTATAGATAAAGGATGTTTCGAGAAAGCACTTAATAAAGGATGTTGAAAAAAGCTTTACTACTCATCTTAACTGAGAGCAATTTTGAGTGCCCTATAGGCCTTAGGACTAGGATGGCTTAATCCTGTCAGCATCAATATATGTCAGTAAAAGGAAAACAGTGCAAATCTTAGGTCCATAGACCACACAGAGAGAGGGAGGGCTCTTTCAACTTTTCGGCAGGGTGACTTTTCACCTGGGGGAATATGTGATTGGATATTCTCATGCACCAGGAAGGGCTGCCCTCACAACCAATAGAGGGTTTCCTCAATGGTTAGCAAGGTGGTCATCATGAAAGCCATCCTGCATCGACAAATATATCCGAATTGCAATCTCTAAAGAGGTCTAGCTTGGTGTGAGTTTGCTACTTACCAAGTTTTTCTGCTCGATTTATTTCAAGGAAAAATAACACTGACTTGAAAGTGGTTGTTCGGTGTAATAAGAGAATTGCATTTCTAGCGGTGCTGTTCCACCTTAGAACATCAGGATAATATTCTCGGAAAAAGTTTCTAAGATAGTGGAATATGTTCCACCTTAGAAAACAAACTCTCAATTATGGCCCAGCCAGCCCAAATTATTATTCTATCATCTGTGGAGCGTAACCAGTGTGTATACATGTAGATAACATGCATAGGTTTAGAAGGTTTTTGCTGCTGTGAATACATGTGGATAACCTGCGGTGGGTCAGAAATACTTTCTCATTTGTTTTCGAAAAGAGAAATACTTTCTCATAAAGAACATCATTTATAATAACAATATTTTTACTAACATAGTGCGTCTGTGCTCACCAAGATGTGATCTCTTCTTTATTTCACCCTAGTATCCATGTTTCAAATACTATATCTTGAATAACTTATTTTCATTGTATTAAAACATGAAAACACGCAAGGGAAAAGCCTCATTGTTTCCGTTCTTTTATGCTACTCTATATTCAACAAAAATATAACTATACAATAAATCACGTATATTTTCAGTTTCAGTTATCATATTAGTGATCTAAATATCCATGTTTCTTTCAACTAAATCTCATCAAAATATA